CACACAGAGCGCTGCAGCATGTCCCCTTGGCAGTGTGTGCTCGTGGTAGCACAATGCGCCACTTCTCTTCTCTGAAGTACCGCTGCAGCTGCGGGGCCACTTGGCAATCTGAACAGGGAGCAGCATCCTGGACTGGCTGCCGACTTTTTGGTGACACTTAGTTTGTCAGACTAGCTATCTCAGAAGGAATCTGGAACAGCCTTTATGTTAAAACATCTGTTGTATTTATAAACCTGCACTGATGCTTGAAGAGGTGTTTGAAAAATTGTCTGTGCCATTTTTAGATGGAAGTTTGAAAACCCGGGTCTATATCATATAGATCATAAACTTCATGTATAATCATAAAAGTCATATATCATCATAAAATACTAAACATCCTCACGCAGCATGTGTATCTTTGCACACTGTCAGGGATGAAGGTTATAGATAAAATGGCAGCAAATGGAAATAAAATAATATTCCCACTTTTATGAAAGATTCAGTGGTCAGTATGTTTGGGTATTACCCTTTAAGTAATTAACATTTGTTTGGGCAGAGTGACTCAAGGAATTACTGGCTGGTTTTTCTAGTGTTCTAATCTGGTTCTTCTGCTTATCTAATTACAGAATTTCATGATTTATTTTTCTGAATGATTCGTGTGTTGACTTGCTAGTAGAAAACTTTGGCCAGACGGATAGCGATTTGTATTTCTTTTAAACTGGATTCCATAAGGAGATCAGATGAAGCTCTCCATTAACGTGCTGAAAGAGAGTTGAAGACATCCAAACTTTTTCCTCTGGCAAAAACTCTGTAGTGGTATTGGGCAGATTTTGTTTTTCTGCTGCTGCTGTTTGGAGGGGAGCTGGTTGCCAATGATGAATCAGGAGCCGGGGGTGCTGTGCGAGGGTTTGTTGAAGATTGAGCCTATGCTAGCGATTCGTGCTGAGCTGTCGGAGAAGAGCTGTAGCGCCAATTTGCTGGTCCCGGGGGCCTAATGTCCACATGAATGTATTTTTGAGGTGTTGGACTAGCTCTGGTTTGGTCCCACATGCTCCACAAGTGGCTCGAGTGCCTGGGAGCTACTCCAGATATAGTTACACCCCGAAGGAATCCTGTTTGTGGGCTCCGAGGCAGCACTGTGCTCTGTTGGGACAGCAGCTGATCTGAACTACAAATCAGTGTAGACACAGCTGGTAAATGTCCAGTCTTATCTCTTGAATAACTAAATGGAGACCTTAGGAACAGGCTCCTGGAGGAAGTGGCAATACTAGTTCTGACTTATTGTGAGCTAAGATCAGGGTCCACTAAGAATAATACCTATTAAAAAAAACCTTTCTGTGTTATTGACTTGGCTTCAGATACAGGAGAAAATGAGGAAGCTCTTTCTGGGGCTAAAACAAAAAGGAAAAAAGGGATCAGCATTAAAACAAGAGGGTAAGATGCCAGAAACACTAGTGCAATTACCCGTCTAGGATAGCTCTGGATATTTTGATTTAGCTTATGATGACTAAGCCACTAGATTAATGAAGTGCCTGTGTACTGAGAGCATAAAGCAGTTATAATCTTGTACTAGTATTCTTAAATGTTTTTATTTAAGAAAAAAAAATCTCCACCCACCTTAAAATCAAAATCTAATTACACGAAATTAAGATGTTTCCTTAACAGACTCAGTTGGAGCATGTGCTGCCAAAGACTTCATCCTAAGTGAATGATGTTACGGGGAGTGTATCACCATCAAGGGGGTAATGAGGAGACTGTATAGAAAATCTGCTTGAACAGTTTCTTACACGTGACGTGTTTACTACAGGCCCGTTTTTGAAATGCTGTTGCTTAAGTAAATGAACAAGTTGCTTCTTATTGAGCTATGTTGTTCAGATGATGTCTCATAAGCAACATCAACTCCTACAAACCTAAACACTTTTCACAAAAGTAAGTCTTTAGAGCGCTAACACAATTAACTTTGTTGTTTCATTGAAGGGGAAAAGCCTTTTTCAAAAGTAGTTTTTAAGTACTGTGTTGATTTTTTTTGTATTTAATGGGACAGTCTATCATATCTTGACTTTGCAGAGAATAATTTTTTTTTAACCTAAATCTGGGATGAAGGAAGCTATAAATGTGGTTTGCTTAACAGGTTCAACTTATTCTGCATCAATTGGAATGTAAGATAGTGTTGGAAATACACTATCAACCAGAAAACTTCTCAATTCTGGTTAAGCACCTTTTGCTCCTGGTCGTATTGGCTGCTTAAAGTGTACTTTAACACAGCTTGAACTGATTTGGATTTGTTAGTTTTCCTCTTCTGCTGTCTCACTCTTCTGCCCCCATTTGTATTCCTGCCCTCCAGCACGATGTTACTCAGTGATCTCTCATTCTCCTCCACCATCAGGTCAGTGCCTTTGCTCTTTGAAAACACGTTGTTGCAATTTCTACAAATCATGGAAGAAAATTACATAATCTTAAAGGCTATTGCTCTGTTCCCTGCTTTAAATATTCATCTCTTTACCCTTCCATTTCCATCCCCTCTCACCAGTAGCTCAGCCCAGACTGACGTACCTGATGTCATCGGGGGGCCAGTCCTGGCCTGCGTTCTCCGCAGAACAATGTCAGCTCCTGGCAATCTCTGTCATTCTAGGAGAGGATTAGCTCTTTAATTGTTTTTACATAAATACCGAGATGATCATAGCTTGTGTCTGTCAGTGCTTGCTGCAATTTTTTTTTCCCTTAAACACCAACTCAGTGAACAGCTTTTTACAATGTGTAGCTGCTCGTTTTGTATGGCTTTTTAATCTCTAGAGGCCAGATGGAAGCATGATCCTTCAGCATTGCTTCTTTTGCATAACGTGGGGATGGGAACTACATTTGAATAGCACACAGTCAGAGATGTATAAGTATATAAATATTTTTCTTTTCCACCCATGTATTTTCTCTTCTAGTGTTTTGGTTTGGTTTTCTTTAATGAGCAAGTAAATGCTCTGCCCTGACAGAAGAGTCTTACACAGAAGAAAACAATGATTTTGTGGTCAAGAAGATTTGAGAAACTCGCACTCCCATGGTAAGTTTCTGAGACACTTGACTTACCTTGGTTTCAGGGAACTGATAAATAACTGATGTTGGACTGATCTGGAATTATGTAGTTTTTTTTTTCTTCTTCAGAAGCTTTATTTCAAGCTCTCCCACAATCCCACCTTTGATTTTAGTTGTATTTATGGATTTATTCTGCTGTCAGAGTGCAATCGATTGATTGAAATCCATAAATAATAAACATCGAGTTTCAATTTAAGATGCAGTAACAAGATGCTATAGGAAGAAGTTTTATGTACTCGAGCAGCTTTTTATAGCTCACTCCCTCCAGAATCAAACCCTGACACATTCTTAGTGATAGGGAGCTAATGGCTTTCCTGCATATGTTTGCTGAGCCCATGTGATGTATCCTATATGGCAACTGAAGGAGAGGACACTTGCACACCTGTTTGGGGAAGGGTTACATAAAAAGTCCTGCGACGTATTTTAGCATCTGCCAGTAAGCTGACCAACTTAACCTGCTTTACCCTTTGGAGAATATACGATATTAAAAATAACAACAAGAAATAGGGAAAAAAAAAGACATACTAACATGAAAAAACACATTTTATTGCACTTAAGTTATAAGAAAATAAAATTTCTAAGTGAATCAAACCATAGACACAATCCCTTTAAAGGTTGTTTTCCTCCATCATGTCAGGTTGTTACATAACTAAAATTAACCAACTGGAATCTGATTGTTTTAAATCAGACTATAAATAAAACAAAAACAAAAAAAAGGAGGAAAAAAGATCGCCTAGGATACAGTGTTAAACCACTTTCACAGTTCAGCTTGAGTTGTGGCTCTTGGAGAATGAGGCAAACCATTTGACTATTTCATTTCTCATTTTGTTTGCATGTGACATCTTTACAAAAACGTAAGTTTTTGCTCTGTCAGTTCCTCCCAGCAATAACTGTAACAGTTGTTTTTTTTTTCTCAAATACTGTAAAACACTAAGACTGACCAGCAACTTTATTTTCATTTTTGTATTTTATAATATTTTTTTAAAAATTTTGTCAGTTTTTTTAATGTATGTTCATTCCATTCACCACAGCCCTCACAAAGAAAAATTTCCCCACAGAACAGGCTGCAATAGCTTTGTTCTAAGGAATGTGTTTTAATTTTTGCCCAGAAAAAAGAAAATAAGCTTTGCACACACACTCAATTCTTTATTTGCAGGCAAACTTCACTCTTAATTGTCTGAAACTCTTCCACTCTCAGCCTCTTAGAGGCACAGTTGGCTCAAGTTTCAGTGGCAAAAAGTCTTTTTCTGTAACCAAACTAGAGCAAATTTGGAATTCAGTCTGGGACTAAAACGTCACAGCAGAAAAAAAAAATAAAAAAAAATAATTTGCTTTTCTTTCTTTCATTTAGCAGCATAAATAAGTTTGGCCACTGGGAATACAGTACAGGGGTGGGACAACAATCCCATAATTGAAGACCTACTTCTAGCACCAGCATTGCGAATTAAATCCATCAGAGAACTCTCAATACCCAGGACAACTTGCCACCTCAGAGCAACTTATGCGTTGAAGAGTGTAGATAGAAGCAACAGTAAACAGATTAAACAGAGGCTAATACTGTGATTGACATTGGCAATGGTTGGCAAAAAAAAGAGGAAGAGGAATAAAAGAAAAAAAAAGAAAAAGCTCTGATAAAACTGTACAAAACAATTCACAGTAATATTTTAGCTTTTCCACACTAGGAATGGACTTTGTTTTTGTTTTGCTTTTTTCATTGCAGATGCTCTGTAGTTTTTGGAAGTCAACCAGTGACTGCTCATAAAGATTGGAAGGGACCGCTGGAGGTTGTCCGGTCCAACCCCCTGCTCAGAGCGGGGCCAAGGGAGAGCGCGTTGCTCGGAGGGGTGCGCCAGCAGGCTCGCCTGTGCAGCTTCTTTCAAGATCTTTGTGGTAAAATAACCTGTTAACAAGAACTGTAACAATTTTCTTTTTTTCACCTCCAAATTGCTCAAAGAACAGTTGGAGGAAAGTAAAGAAATAATTGCACCTGGTTTCATTTCAAAAGTCATATTTTTGCAAAGCTGCCCCGGTCAGAAGTGTAGCCTTTTTATGTGACGAGACAGCAAATGCCTCTCTTGTCAGTTATAGTTTGTCATCTTTGTCTTCTCCTTTGTAGTCTGTAGGTCTTTAGGATCTGTTGCCCCAAGCCAACATCCTGCACCACCAAGGACAAGGGATTTTTTTTTCCTTTTTCTTTTTTTTTTTCTTATTTCTTTTTTTTTTTCTTTTTCTTTTCAGGGGGAGGGAAAGGAGAACATCGTCTACACGTTTGGACAAATTAATCTTTCTGCCCTTCACTTCATATCCACGTCAAAGTCCAACACCAGCAGCTTTGTTTCCTCAGTCCCGTTGCGGCTCCCAACGGCACACACTAGCTTTGTGTTCGAAGCTCTGATCCGCCACACGACGCCTCCGCTTCCCCCGCTCTCCAATGTGACTAGATTTCGGATAAATTCACCTGTTTTCAAGTCCCAAAGTTTTACAGTCCCATCGTCTGAGCTGGTAATTACAAAGTTCTTGTTGAACTGTAAACAGGTCACAGCACTCTGATGCTTGTTGGGACCTGTAACAGTAAACCAAAGCGTTTTTATTTGTAATGAGAAAGCAAGGTCAGACAGCACTGCACATACCATAAATACCTAGCTATTTGCATACAGCTTTTTCTACCTAGATGTGTTGACTCAGTTTTTGTGCATTAAAAGGTACAGAAGCCTTGCTGTGCTTTCAGAAAGGGAATGCAGGTATAGAAAAAGCCCCCAATATTTCCTTCTTTGCTACAGTGATCTCATTCTGTTGTATGCGAACAGTAGGGCAAGTGCGCACTTGGACATTCGTGAAAATGAACTCAGCCATCCAGGATGAGGTGACCACGGTAAGCCTTTGTCTCCAAGTCTCTTTGAAGAGTTCTCATGAGATTACTCTATCAGTAAATATTGACAGTTAAGATATTGACATATAAACATATACTGTTAAAACAGCAGAGTTGGCTTTATAGTGAGATTTAATTTTTTGCTGCAGCCAGCGATGCTGCATATGGTATATGGGAATGACAGGAGACATTTTTTGTGGGGGGAAACAAAATGTTGTGTTTGTGTGCATGATGCCTGAGTGGCAACTATCAGAACGGAAATGTAATCTTTCTTCTTACCAAAATAACAAAAACATCTTCCACTCATTTCTCTTGATTTATTGCAACAGACAGTGTACTTTGCCTCCTGATCCAATTAATCAGTGAGGCTTTTGAAACATCCAAGTGACCCCTAAATAAATACGCTGATTGACTGTTTTGAGATGTCATTTCCTACATTATTAGGCTAATACACCCGTAGCAAATTGCTATCAGTCCAGACCATCTGCCTTTCGTAATAGGCAAGTGATTTGAATAGATCAGATTAAATACATTTTGTTCTTCAAATTCAGAGAAAGATCATAGAGCTGTCATCAGAAAAATATTTAAGTTGTAAGTGGTCTGTGCTTGTTTCTTTGTATGCAATTTTTAAAGTTTTTTTACATGGAATCTGTAGTGTAGCTTACTGTGGGCAGCTTGATTGACATGAAGGTAGTTTAAGCTCACCTTGCAATGTCTGTAAACATTGTCCTGTTTTAATGTCCCAGATTTTTCATTCCCAGACACGAGTATATTGTCCTTGAGTTCCATTCCACTTGTGAGAGACTGGTGGCCTGTCAGCGTGTGAATGCAGTTGCCCGTCTCCACATCCCAGACTCGGATGGAAGTGTCCAGAGATCCGCTCACCACATGGATACCATCAAACTACAAGAAAGGTAAATCTATTACAAACAATTACATTAGGACCTTGCAATGCGCTGTATGAAGAAGGCTATTATAGCACTTAATTCACTAAATGCAACATTAGATACCACATATCTATCCAGAAGCTGCCTTACAAACTACTAATTCAGTCTCAGTAGAGACGGCCATGTTTGACATCAGAGCAGGTGATTCATGCTCAGTGTGATCTCCTGGTGTAGACATGGTCTGCGAGGTGCGTGGTTCAAGGAGAAAGGCTCTGAACCACTGGTCTTTTCCATGTCATGCAACTCTTTTAAACACAACAGATTCCTGACTATACCGCGGTGTGCCGTAGTAAGAGAACGTTCTTTTCCTGATAAAGATGTTACCAAGCCAAACCTGTTTTTCACAAGTCAGGACTTCAAGCTGGAGAAGGGTAACAATGTTAATCCAGAAACATCTACACAGAAGCCAAAGCATAGGAAAATGGAAGGGATGTAATTGAAAAATGCTGGCTTTAGCCTTTTTTTTAATCATAATTGTGTGCAGTAAGAACTTTAACTTCCCAGTCATTGTTGGGAAAGGTATATGGGCTAACACTGATGTTCAAATTCTTGGATTTTCTAGTCTTATATATTAAATACATATAGAACATGAACATGGAGAGAAATCACCTATAAGATGAGACACTTCTGACCAAGAGGACTGAACATGGAGAGAATATAAAGGTAGAAAGTAACTTGACAGGTAGTGACAATGATGTAAGAGTCCAGAATTCTCAAAAAAGGAAGGAAAAAGAGCCACAGAATAAAACCAGTGGGCTTCAAGGAGGAATACTTCAGTAAACTGAGACCTCCTTCCCATGAGGTTTTTATGTATCTATTCTCTGAGGGGAAGAAGAGTTCAGGAGAGCTGGCACTTTCTTAAAGACACAAACTATCCTTCTGTAAAGGAAAGATAGAAAGTGTAGTAAATTACCAAGACCCACTTGGCTAAGGCACAAGGAATTGTACAAAAAGTAGAAACTACATCAATACATGCGTTTAAAAGAGCACACTGGGACAGAATCAGAAAGGCAGGGTACAAAACAAGACAGAACTAGCAAGAGCTGTTAGGGATGAAAAAACATTATTCTGTAAAGAAAAAAACCCAAGAGGAAGGCCCAAATAAAAAAGCTCATTTATGCTCAGGGGAAGGAAACACCAAGTGAGGCCAGCTATTTAACTTTCTCTGCTGCGGTCCTCAGCCATCTGAGTGTAGGCTCGCAGCACTAACACCATTGACAACCGAGTACAAGCTTCTGCTAGAATGGGGAAAAAAACCCCACATAAGGCAAGTTGTTTTAAGACAATCTCAGAGACATCTGCTGCTATCTCTGAGAACTCATGGAAGACAGACAAGTTTCAAATGGCAAATGCAATTCCTTTCTTTACTGAAGGAGATGATGATGGGAGATGGGGAATTATGGATCGGTCAGTCTAACTCCAATTTCCAGAAGGAACTAACAAAAAATCAATTTGGTTGTAAGCCCTTAGCAATGCGGTTAAGTAGCAGCAAACAGATTTGTGGGAAAATGATCTTAACCGATGATTTTTTTTCCGTGACAAAGTAAAAAGCCATGTGAAACGGCAGATGTCTTGGTTGTATTTTCACAAAGAGGGAGGCAAATGTGACACAGGGATACTATCCTGTTCAGAACTTTGTTCTCAGCACTATTAGAGATAGCAGAAGGAGTTCCAGGGAGGGTCTGGCATTTAGGATTTTCATTAGAATTTGGGTGACATTTGAAATGGTAGAACTGACCCAAAGCAAAGAGTGTAAAAGTCAAGAGAAAATTGTGAAGATCTGAGCTTGGCAGGGAACAAATGAATGTACAGCTGCGGCCTGGGAGAATGATGGCCAGGCAGGAATCTTTGTTACAGCTACAGCAATCCAGCAGTACTCGTCCATGAGGACTTACTGGGATCTAACAATGGGGAAGAAAGAACCCATTAAAGGAACTCAATTATCTGAGACTGCTTCTTTTTATAAAACCTGCAGAAAACTAACATCTTAGATGTCTACAGTTAAACATGGTTGAGCAGGGCAGCTAGGTTCAAAAGAACGTAGAGACCGACTGCAGATACACACTGCTTATCTGCTGTGTACATTGCATTCCTAGTGAAAATATAGTAAAAAAAAAAAAAAAAAGACATTCTAATATCTGAAATACAGGTATGCTATAAAAGGCACGTAAAAATAACTTACTTTTCACTTCTATTAAACGTTGCTAAGACTTTGACTGGAATTTTGCATCCTGTTTTGGGCGCTCTGCTTTCAGAAGAGGATGTGAACAAATTCGAGTTCAGATAAAAGGCCGAGGAGTGCTAGGCAGCCTAGCAGACTGGTTGGGTGGAAACACTACAGAATGTTTTTATTTCCTAACCAGAACTAAACCAGATTGATGTAACAAATTTTGAATTCTTCTCCTCTCTCCTGCAAATTAGGTACATTCCATATACATAAGCTTTAACGCTGGGCACCAAGATCAAACTTTACTCTGATATTGCCACAGTCAAACAGACAACGGTTTGGATGAGTAGTTGAGCTGTTATCCCTGGACCCTGACCTTACTACAAAGGCAGCTAAGAAAGAGGCAACTAAGAAAACGCAACATGAACGGTAGTCTTCAACTGCTGCTTAAGCTACAACTTACAACTACAACTGGGTAAGTGTTGAGGTGTAACAGGACCTGCCAGTGCGGGGACGGGGAGGACAGGCTGGTTGTTCAGCCTGATTATTCTGTTTATGGGAGTTCTGCCTCTTCGGGTTATTTCGTGCTGAAGGGCAGGAGCTCACCATACAATTTTAAAGACTCTTTCTGTCCTAGAAGTGTAAACACCTGTAGCCTTCTGCCCCCTATAAATTTGTTTTAGAATACCAAGTTCCATTTACAGGGCATAAATAGTATCAGTGTGTGTAACATAAACCCCATTATTTGATCCATTATTACTACAGTATGGGAGCAAGACATGAATATTCATAAGCCAAAAGAAGAAGCACTGGTGAAGACAAGGCAGAATAACAGACACTGTTCCCAAGCTGCTCTAGATGAAATACACTAACCTTCAGAATATTTTCAAGCGATAGGTAGGTAGTACAGCATTTTTAACTTGTTTGCTGCTTGTCTAGAGAATCCTCCTCAGTATTTGAATTTAATAGAAGGGTTGAAGATTTCTGATAAATTTTACTACCTATCTTGGGAAAGGAAATAAGAATTTTGTTCATATGTAGTCTATTATGGTGGGAGATACCTTCTGATGAAAGCATTTATGTAAAATGTCTCTTGCACTGAGCTTCACTTTCTGAGCCACAAACCAGAGTAGTTACATGCTGAATGCAATTTCCCGATGTTGAACTGGCTTTGTTAATTTCTTTTTCAAGTCCTGCCAGATTGTGGTGAGAACAAGCACAAGCATGAAATTAATTTATTTTGCCTTTCAGTGCCTGGCAGTGATGCTCTGACTCTATGAATTAACAAGATGATCTTTTGGGCTAGTGAAGGTAAGAAGAGTCTACAGGAGGTCTACGTCTACCTTTGCCAGCATGGTTCTGAGGAGCAGTCGGGGGACTGGTAGGCAGTGGAGCCACGCCACAGAGCAGCACCGTAATAACCTGCAGCCACGGTAACATGTCTGTTGACAAAGCCTCACAGTGGTAGATCTGGCCTCTACTCACAGAAGAGGAAGTAGGAGGCTGGGGATTTACATCAGGGCATTAAAACTTTAGGTTCAGCCTTACTGTGAAATACAGTTTGGAACTAGAAGATGGGACTGCAAAATAAGTATAAGCAGTTCTTCGTAATTCAGAGCATTAATCCAGTGGGTTTTTAAAGTACATTTTCAATTACTGTATTTAAAATAGCACTGAAATCATTGGGGAAACCAAAACTATAGCTCCAAAATACATGCAAGATTTCAAAAAAACCCTAACCAAACAACCCAACAATCCAGAAAACTACATACCTTCCTCGTATAGAGATTTGGTCTTTATTGTACTGGGTGCTTTAAAAAAAAAAAAAAAAAAAAGCTCCTCTAAAAAATATTTTATTCTCTAAATTAAGACAGCAGGTAACTAGTTCAAGAAAATGAAATAGGCGAGTATCACAGATGCCTCTATATTCTTGTGGCTTGCATAATTTTGGAGTAGGTACCCACAAATTTAATAAACAAGGTGAAATAAACCAACTTTAAATATTACTTAAGGAAACTAATGCAGGAGATGAAAATCACATACCTGTAATGAGTAGACTCTGTTAGTATGCCCTTGCAGCGTGTGCAGACAGGTCTCTGTCTCCGGATCCCACACTTTGACCATAAAATCATATGCACCACTTACAACCCTTCTGCCATCATACTGAACGCACCGAACTGCAGCTACGTGGCCCATCAGAACGTGTAAACACTGACCCGTCTCTATGTCCCAAACTCTCAGTGTAGCATCTCGAGAACCACTGACCACTCTGGAGGAACAAGAAAATCCCTTCTGTACTTACTTAGCATTGGACATAGAAGTATTAACAAAAGTAGACTTGGGTAGGAGTCACTTGTGACTTTTTTAATTTGGGATATCAGATAGCCACCAAAGAACTGGTTTGGCATGACATTTTATCAGGGTCACAAATGACTTGAGTGTTTTTCTTCCTTGCTCTACTCACCTCCTAGGATCTGTCTATTTGATATAATTAGCAATCAGTATTTAAGAAGGCACTTCATTCCGGAACAGCGAAACAATGGGGACTGCTGCAGATAGCTGTGAAAGCTTATGAAGATGCTGAGCTCAAGCCAGTGCTATGATCATTCTGTTTTAATGACTGAATTAACTAATTATAACAATTAAACAAAGAAGATCTTTTCTAGTTTTACTTTTAGTAAAGTAACAGTTATTCTGCTTGATTTTTTCAGTTTATGCTCTTTAAAACTTCACATGGTTTAGTGAGTTAGGTCGTGTGGGTTGACGGTTGGACTTGATGATGCTTGACATCTTTTCCAACCTTAGTGATTCTATGATACAAAAATATGTTCTAAGACATCTATAGATTCCTTGGTTAGGCAAGAACAGAAATGAAGAATTAATATTAATAGCATTGATAAAGAAAAACCTCATCATTCTTCAAAAAAGAAGAAATGCAACCACCGGGGACTCTGTCCAGCTCTGTACACCAGCCAAGTACAAGAGCTTTGCCAATGTTTGTTGAATCAAGACATGGTTTACTATTGCAGAAATGATTATCAGTTAAAATTTTTAATAAAATGCTGCAGTGATGATACTTAAGTCATTCTGTAAAATGAGTACAAGTTTACATGATTGACAAAAGAGAGAAATTATTCAGAGTGTGGGGGACTGGATCACAGCGTAACAAAGAATTAGTTTTGAAATAACGTAGAATGTGACTTTATAATAGTACACAACTGATTTTTCTGTTCTTTAATTAGTACTCTTATGCTTTTGCTTCTATTAATCATCTCCTTCCTTGTGTTGATTTATGCAGTTTGAATGCTTTGCCTGGTTTGTATTGCACCCAATGCTGGATGAGGTCCCCAAGTCTACCAAGAGTTTTCTGTGAACACAGGTGTGCATTACAAGCCAGACCATGTCTGAAGGTTTGGACGAAGCCTCACCTTTTCTCATGGAGATGCATGCAACGCACGGTGGAGGTGTGGCCGTACAAGGTGTGTATGCACTCCCCAGTCTCAGCGTTCCAGACTTTCAACGTTCGGTCTGTAGATCCACTGATGATGATATTGTCCCTCATCTGTGATGACCAGACTCCGCCTGTGTGCCCAACCAGCGTTCTCAAACACTGAAAATAAATATTTTGCTTACTTACCCTTTTGACAGAGTTGAACAGAAACTTAAGAAAAAAGTACTCTAGGAGGTAACAGTAGTCTCCCACAGCAAGAACCACAAGTCCCCTGGAGACTGCTTTGTGACTGAACTAAAAAAATCTCACCTTTTGGAAAATAATCATCAAATTTCTCTCTCCATTGTCAGTAATTCAACTATAAGGAATTCTCCTTATAAACATGCCCTTGACAAACTAAACTGTCTTTCCAAATTTCTCAATGCAGGGCATGTTCTGCAGCACTGAGTCATTTTCCTGGCATTTTTCTGAGTCACTGCAGGTTTTCCAGTAGCTTTTTGAAGCTTCAGTGTTAGAACTGGAGCGAGCATTCACTTAGTAGTTTTACCAGCAATCTATAAACCATATACTCTTATTTTATTTTTCTGTTTGTTTTTCCAAGAAACATTGTGTTCTGTAAGCCGTAGCTACCGCATCAATACTGCAACATGACGTTTCAAACCTTTTTTCAGACTTCACTGTTGCCCAGGAGAGAATTCCCACGCTACATAAGCACAGCCTACCTCCTCTGATCCCAAATGTCTGACATGATTTCTCACCACGTAGAGACAGTTTGCTCACACCTACTTGTCTACAACCTCCGTCACTCTGCAACAATGACTCGTCTCTGTCTCTCAGCCTATACTCCTTACAAGTAATGACTATATATGCTTTCTCACCAGGCAGCTATAAGTGCTAATTAGCACAGACAAGAAGAGATCCTTGCAAGACCCCTCTAGAAAGATACTCCATGAAGATTCTGCATTTACATTAACAACATGATCTCTATAATTACCCACTTTCTAACCCATTTAAATATGTGCCATGTTGATTTTTGCATTGCTCTATTTTCTTCCATCGTGTCAGGGGGATAGGGTCTTGCACTGCACATGGCCATCTATTTCTGCACTATTATTTTTATCAGTCAAACCTGTAACTGCACAAGAAAAGAGGTCAAGACAGTTTGATGATCTCTCTTTCTGTAATCTAATGCTAAGTGGCATTAATTGCTGTGGCCTTCCTTTAACTGTTAGTTGACTCCTCTTGACGTAGTCCAATATTTTTTAGCTGAGATAATGTATCCTAAATATCCAGTCTTTCAAATTTATTCCATTTAAATATTGACACATTTTAGCTTTCTAGCCATACTTTGGATCTTTTCCTTGTGCTCATACCTTTTGAAAAAAACACCAATTTTACCCCACAAGTTACTTTAGAAAACTAAAAAAATTAAATACAGATTATCTGGATCAACTGTAATAAGAAAAAAAATGTAACTTTGGTAGTTTTGTTTAACATCCTTGTGAGTTTCTGCTGAAATTAAGTGTTCTATTATCACTGCATGCTGTATTTCCATCACATGAATTTTCTCCCAAAATAAATATTTTTCTGCATCAGTGCTAGTATACTAATTTCTGTTGTTAACATCCTGTTCTAGCAAACATCCTTGAAAATGCCTTGCTTTTTTTGAGGTACATAGATTTCCTGTTCTTTACCATTTTTACCAGTCTTCTGCAATTCCTGGCTCCTAGCTTAATTCGCTGCTATCAAATCCATCTTTTTTTCAGTTCATAGCTGTTATTCACTTGTACAGTTCCCATTTTTTTTTTTAAATTTCAACTGATTTGCTCATATTTTAAGAAATCATCCTTCTAAAGCAGTAAGAACACAGAATCCTTATTTTGGGCTTTACATCTGTCAAGGGAATTATTTAGTCATGTTCATTTGCACAAACCAACCTTTAGGGTTTTTTTTTCTTTTATTAATTCTTCAGCATCAGTAAGCATGAGGGCTGATACAGCACTCTTCCATCTTTCATATGTAATTTCTGTCTCTCTTAAAAGTTTGGGGTAAATAGTCACACTAGGATGTGTAATTACTTTCAAAAAATTACTGAACAGGAATCATTAGGTCATGCTACTATGATCAATTTTATATATTTAAAGGAACATTTTGCTTTTGAGAGGGTGGTATGTACAAAGGCAGTATTTTTCATTCGAGTTTAGGCTGCCCTTTTCAATTAAAAAATGCAAATTTCAGTATGGGTTCCTTCATTAGACAGTTTGTTGTAGGGAAGCCAACAGAGGCAGGGTGAGGCTGCCTATTGCTTTTAATTTTATTCTTCCCCACAGTAGTTATTTACAGTCCCATCAAGGATCTTCTAGGCATGCAAAGACAAATGCTTAAAACATTCACAGCTTCAGCATTATACAGTGGATGCCTGCTAGATCTTAAATGCGTTATCCTCAATAGCTGTCCTGTTGTTCACGTAACTGTATCATTAAGACAAAGCTAAGTACACACAATGCCAGTCTACAAGGAAGAACTGCTGTTTGCCTGAGGCCTTTTCTATATCCTTGGAGCATGGTCAGTCAGTCACCTTCAAATAAAAAAAAATAAATCTGTGTGCTGAGTAGCTGTGATGTTCTAACACAAGTGCAATGTTCAGTACTGTCTTTTTGACTGCACATATTGTTTTGCTTCTCTAAGCCAAAATTAAATTATTGAAGCTTATTAAATTCTTGCCTGAGCTGGATCTAATTTAATAGGAAATATTTAAACCTAAAGCAAGTTACTTTTTTTTTTTTTTTTTTGTGGTGGCTCAGCAATATAGTAGCTTAGAAAGAAAAACAAACGCTGCATTTGAAATTGGAGCCAGTAAAATGAACACCCCATTTCCAGTAACTTAAAAACAACAGAAAGAATTCCAGAAGACAAGTGAAAAAGGGAGATCCAGAGGGGTAAAAGCAGACTAAATTAAGCTTTAAGGAAGCTAAAGTAATGTATCTGTCCAAACTCTTTAGAATCCATGTCACAAGTGACTCCACAAGAGCCGCAGATTTGCCAGGAGGACAAGGATGTACGCCAACAGTAACATGAGCAGCATTGCAGTTTCAGGTCAAGGTGACTTTTTTGAACTTGACTAGTTTCTGTGTAGGAGAAGATGACCCAAACGTTTAGCGGTACTTTTCCAATTCTTGCACCAGACAGCACTAACCACCACCCTGCAGTGCGGTCTCATGGCACAGCAGCATTTCTGACATACCAGCGCTCTACCTGTAGCTCATTTCCTAAGGAATTCAGCAAAATAACCGGCTTACCTTGCCTGTAACCGCTGACCACACTTTGAGCGTGTTGTCATCAGAGCCGCTCACTATTCGGTTCCCGCAGAACTGAAGGCATGTGATCACGTGGTCATCATGGCCTTTGAGCACCTGAAGATGAAAGAACATAAAAACGCACAGTCACAATCTAACGCAGGAGATTAGAGAGGAGCAAGAGAAACAAAGTGCTCTTGTGATTCATAAATTATAAAATGCTAGAGTTGCTTCAATAATAATAAGGCCCCTTAATCCCCTGTGTCAAGTCTAATCTACTGCCAGCTGGGACCAAAGAAGGTATTTCCCTTCTTCCATGGAGTGATACTGCATTGCTTAGCAAGCACACTACAGTTACTGAAAGCCTCCTAGAAGTACCAGGAAAAATCACTAATAAAAGCAGGCTGAATTAGTAACTGGACATTCCATTCCTCTGCAGTTATTCTATCTCTTTGTTTTTTCAGTTGAGGTTTTTTTGCTCAGACTTTTACCTTTTAAGAGTTTTTCAGTCTTGAACAAAAAGGATGGGGTTGTATTATTTGCTGCGTATTTGTATTTCAGTGGTCAAGGCTGACTATATTTTTTTTCTCCTTACCAGCCAAGTATTGTAATCTATTAAATGCAAGGCAGCACCAAAGTGAAAAACTAGAAAACTACTAACTCAATTAAATACAAACAAAAGTGATAATTTAATGTGGTGGAAATGTAGATTGGAATGTTGCTTTACAGAGGTGGGATTTTCAATGCTCGATTTGGGAAAACCTGCAATTCAGTATATTTTACTGCAATACAGGAAAAAAAATAAAAATCCTTATCAGAACACAAAAGATGAGGAATTTGTTATTTAAGATATCTGAACACTTTTCAAGATGTTCATCGAAATGAAATGGGCATTTGGATAATGCCTGAGGCTGTAATTTTAATAATAATTCCAAGATAACTTGATGTGGTGCATCAAGGCAGGAAATACAGAAATGTTGCCAGAGATGTACATAAGCCACAGCCAAATAAACAGCAGGATATAGCCATAGGACTTCCACAACAATTTTTTTGTTCTTATTTTTATTATTTTGTTGTACAGTAATCAAGAAAACAGGCAAATTGCCTTAAAACCTTAATATGGTTTTTTTTTTCATGTTTCTGACTGATTGTTCAACACCAGGTTTGATTAGACACTTGATATTTTGTTTTACAAAAATTATTCAAAGTATTGCTTCATATCTTTGTATTGGAAAAGGTGTAATGATAATATATCAATATTGTTGAAGTATTTTAATATTTTAAAGAACAAAAAAAATGTTAACACGGAACGAAGTGACTGTCTTGTACTGCTCAATTTATAAGAGTATATATAAAAATAAAGCATGAAATTATCACAGAATGTAGAGTATTTTTATGTTGTGACATGGCCCAGCTCTACAAATATATATATGTATTTACATACATTATATATGTGTGTGTATGTTTAATTTTAAATAAGTATCTCCAATCAAGTTTCTGCCAAAAGGAAAAAAAGAGACTGGGATACACATAGGGATTCACCAAATTGTACAGAATTTTTTAGAACAGCAGTGAAAGAATTCTGCTGTATGAAGAATTATGTTTTGATTGTTAATATGGTCCTCACACATTAATTTAAACCCAGGGTAAGCTAAAATAGAAATAATTTTCTTCTGTAAGAATACACTGCTTTTTGTGCATGGATAGCCTGGCTTGTCCAAAGGAAAAAAATAACCTTCGAGTTGATGCTGCTTTTTTCACGGCACCATGCACATAGCTCAGGAACCTACCTTAGGCGATTTCAGTTCTCCTCGCCGCCAGTTGGTATCAATCCTGTGTTGTCTAATGTAGGCGCTTTTCCACGGACTGTGTATAAAGCCTGGTTTGATTACTTTCCTCCTCTTGATATGTAATGGTTCATCAATCCCTGAAATGAATTTTTAAAAAAAGAGGGCAGGGGGAGAAATGAGGCCACCCCAAAGAAAACAACTGCTCTCCCTCCCAAACCTTTAGATGTAACCTCCCGCAGGCCAATATCTACATTGTGTGCCAGTGACACTGCCCTGCTCTGCAGCTCTTTATCCTACACCTTTCCTTGTCATTTAAGCATAATCACAACCATAATCATGGCTGAAGGTGCTCTAGTTCATCATTCCTTACTGGCAACCTACCACTTTGGTTTTGCATCCCCCCTCCTGAGGCACTGTAGCAGAATATCGCCTTTTCCAAATGGGTATCGCCCAACGAGCTCCATAATCACTCGTACACTCATTTCAGAACCCTTCAACAAGTAAACTTTTCTGTCTGTGGTCCTCTCTGGCTGCCCATCTTCATTACTTTTTAAGTTCACTGTGACTTGATATTACTGAGCCCTTAAATCTTTTCTTGATTCCATAGGCCATGTGCTTCTGGCATTGTCCTCTCCTTTAAGTACAGCTACGCCCTTTCAGAATCGACATTCAAGCAGTGCTTTGTTTTAGCCTTGCTACTAGATAGATTTATTTTTTTTTTTTACAATCCTCTCATGCATCTTTCTATTTTCTATGCAGCTCCTCTCTCCACTGCATCTCATTACTAGGACAAGTCTTACCTCTTGCCTGTATGGGGATTTCACTCTTCTGTTTTTAGCCCTTTCTCTGGTGCCTCTATCTGCAAGTTCTGAATTAACTAACTGCTCCTTCATGTTACTGAGCATCTCGCTAAGTCTGCCTTGTTTCTCTGTGCTCTCATGCCTGGCCATACTTATTGTTACTTCTAAGATCACAAATGTAGCCTCATTCCCCTCTCAACCTTCTCCTTTTTTCTCCTTCTGTCCTCTTAATGCATTTTCACTAAGATTTGTGAGGAGAATCTTTACAGAAGATTTAAGAGTTTACACACCTGGTTTCCACTGCAAAAGAAAACTAATTAATTTAGGTGCTTTTACAAATAGCCAGCTACATTCCCACTGTCATGTTTCTTAAACCTTGCACAAGTTCTTGTCTTGATGCTCTGAGGCAGCCTGGACAGGTCGCTGCGTTTGCCCATGTCCAGGAGGGATACCACTCTGAGATCCCACGCTTGTGCTCTGCCCCCTGGAACAGACTCCTTGTTCAAATAATTCTCTTTAAAAATAAAAGCTTACATTCCTCATGTGCTCAAATATGTGGCTACTTTTCTGGGCGCCTTTTTTTGGCCATTCATATTACC